CGTATTTCGACGACATTTGCAGATTGACATGCAAATACGGGGCCAATGTTTGTAAAGACGATAGTCCTTCTTGGAGGCCTTTGACGAAAACATTTAGGTATGTCTGTCCATTTGTCTGTTTGTCTGCTCCTAATGTACCGCAATTGACACCAAACGATACCCCAAATGGTGGACCCCATCAACAGTGCCCACCAATATTGCTCAAGTTTTAGCGTTCATAAGAAGTTTTGCGATCGTCAATTAGAAAGCAATTATTGCCCACATCTGAGGCACCATTACAACACGTCGATATTTTCTATGTGTTGATTTATACTAGAGAAGGCACGCATAAGGAATTCTATAAGGACCACAGCGTTCATCGCGCGGCGCTGACAATGAAACACGACGCTCAAAATGCAGGTGTTTCCAACACTTTGCTAACATGACATGGTGGCGGCACCTACCCGTCGCCTTGCCTTCTACCTCTAATCACCTCCGAGATGGGTGCGCATGCCACGCGCTTCGTTTTCCGGGATAACTGCCAGATAGCGCTCATGTCGCACGTGTGCCGTGACTCGATGCACTCGTTTGCCTCCGCTGCAGGCTCGAGGCAATCTGACGCCACGCCTCCAGAATATTCACTGAATTCTTGCACAGAACATCAAAGAAACGTTTTGTTCACTCTTTCCAGACGTAAGACTATCGTATTTCGACGACAGTTGCAGTGTAACATGCAGATAAAGGGACATTTTTTTCTTCTGGGCATAGCAAAAGGCTCGGCTCGCTTCACGCTGGTTGCTACTACCAAAAGAACAGCACCCTGGCAATTCGATGGCTAAACAAACGTGTTAATAAATGTGCTAACAAGCCTTGATGTTTAAAAGTTCCTAAGTGATTTTCTTAGGCTATAAGAACAATTATCCGCCAAAGCACCGAAATTCAGTGGCTGGGAGAGAGTGACAAACCGAACGAGTTGGGCTATTTTTGGGGTGAAGCCGACCGACTACAGGTGGTGGCGAAGAAAAGAGAATGGTGGTACTTTCCCCGTTCCAGTGGCTTAGCATTGGGTGCGCTCTCGCCTCCTACGACAGACAGAAAAATACTTTACTTTGGCCCTGAGAGGCTAGGCTGCGTGCCAATTAGGTATACGTCCCCACCCAGACGTCGACTAGTCACATGTAGGAAGAGAGAGGCCATGACTCTCAGTACGTTCACAAGCCATCTGGACAGCTTGAAGCTGGACGTGTTGTTTGGGGTCTGTGATTGCTGTCATCCAGTCGGCTTCTCGGTTAAAGTCCTGTAACGCAGGCTCCACCAGAGCTTGTGATTCAGAGAGCAATATTCATCAATATTTACCAAAGTGGAATAATGTTCGGATGAAGCATGCTTAGAAAGCGCCTACAGGGGTAACACCTCGTCTGGAGCATGCAGTGCGTGCTTGCTTGTCATCTGTGGAGATGATAATAGAGAAAGAGAGAAATCTCTTGGTCTCCTCTATAATGAGATGTTATCTCGTGAAACTGAACGAGAGGATCACTGTGGACGAGCTCTCCCGAACTAATGCGAGAGACCAGCCCGTTGCGGCATGTGAAACAACGCGCACGGTCGTGGGCTATCTTATTCGGGTTCAGGCGACTCCGCAGCACGTCTGGTTTCATTGGAGCCGGAAACCAGACTATCTTATCAAGAATGTCAGAGGGAGGTCTGCCGCGGAGAATCCGACTGCCTCTGTGGCTATCGATTCCGATGGAAACGCTCTACGAAGCAACACACCCAGAGAGCGCATTCTGCTTCTACCGTGGTGCGCGCGCGCCATCAGACACTCTATTCAACTTCAAGATCACTTGGATCAGTGCCGCGGCCGCGTTTACGAAAGAAGCGCGCTACTGACACACGACAATGAAAGGAGTGTGACGGTTGTTCGCGTTTGTCGTGTGTATACTTGTGCGCTGGTTTCGTGCGTCCGCCTTCCTGCTTGAACAGTGCACATTAAGCGTCGAGCTCTGACAGTTGTTAGTCCACGCTCTTCCTGCGTATGCTAATTTCCTGCGTGATTTATGCTTGAGGTGCACGCTGTGAGTTCAGAGCTGCTTGCTGCTCTTAGCGTGACTTTGCAATTGGTTGCTGTTGCTGGAACAATGCACAATAAACGCTCAACTACCTCTCTGAAGGCACGTTTTGCTTTCGTGTTATATCGATCTATATATAGGGGGATCACCCACGTTTGCTTGTGGCGGAAGCACCTCTTAGTCTAACCTTGTCCTGCTTCAGGCGTAACCGGCAGTGTCTCGCGAACATTATAGTAGAAGGTGCTGTCTCATCACCATTTCTCGTCTCGTTGCCTAGATGGCATTCTGTCTAACAGGAAGTGTGTGCAGTAGGACGTGCGGATGGATGGCCGCACGTATAGACGCGCTGACGGACGGACGGATGCACGAATGGAAGCACCGACGGACGGAAGGATGCACGCACGAACAGGCAGACGGAACCATGGATGGACGGATGCATGGACACTTCACCCCACTAATAATTTACGCCATATATATGCTGTGACTTTTGTTTCCCTACTCTGGATACACATTGTAGGTTTTAGCACTGCTCGCGTGTAAAGGCGCAGAAGCTGCACCGCGTGTTCGCAATATTTATGGGGGAATAAGTGTGCGAGCGGTCTAGTCGCACGTATTATTTCGCTGTGTTCGGTTCGGTGGTTTCAGCCAGTCACGTTTGTTTTAATGCGGTAGCAATTATATGGACACTGTCAACTGGATTTTGCCACTGGCATCGACGTCAGCGTCATTCACCGTACATAGAATTTTTCAATCGGCACCCTTTTCTAGCGAGTAACTAGCGGGAGATAGTAAAACGAAAAAAAAAGGTATTATTAGGACCTTGTCAACCTTGCTTGACCGGTACCACTGTACACGAGTAAGCATCCTGCTGGGCATACCCAAAACGTACTGAAGCGAGTAAAAAAAAATGCCGCCCCCTTCTAGTTTTAGTTCCATACAGAAATTCTTGAAGTTGAAACGTGGATGCTAAAAAGGAGTCTGTTGGTACCGCGGGGAACGCACTGTTTTTTTTATCATAAACCTGAAACCATCGAACACGTTTTTCTGGATTGTTGGAAAACCTTAAACTGCAAAGAACTTTCAAAAAAGATCGACAGCTGGATGCCTGCGGTATCAGGTTTTACCGATTCAAGAAGATGATGGAGCGCATTACAATATTTTAAGGATGTTTCACCTTCACTGAACTTGAAAATAAAAATACATGGCAGTCCGCCACGCCGACGTCTATACACTGCCTATTTGTGAATTTTTCCGCCATGTGATTGCAAGATTTTTTGAATACTGTATAATCGGGACCAAGTATCAGAGTGATTTGGACAACTTGAGCCACTCATGCGTATAAAGGAAATATGATTACTATGGAAACCATAGTGCTTTTTACCTTTGTTTACACTGATTGATTGATTTATTTGTGGGGTTTTGCGTCCCAAAACCACAATATGATTATGAGAGACTCCGTAGTGGAGGGCTCCGGATATTTCGACCGCCTGAGGTTTTTAACTTGCACCCAAATCTGACCACATGGGCCTACAACACTTCCGCCTCCATCGGAAATGCAGCTGCCGCCGATGGGATTCGATACTGCGACCTGCTGGTCAGCAGCCGAGTACCCTAGCAACTAAACTATCACCGCGGGGTTTGTCTACACTGTTTACTCATTACATTATTACTGTAAATGTGTCAAAGAAAGTAATAACAAAACAAAAAATGGCAGCATATCCACGGAGTGAATGATGGAGAGTGGGGCGAAGCATTCGTCCGTCCATGCGTCCGTCTGTGTGACCGTCCATGCGTCTGTTTGTGCGCCCGTCCCTGCATTCTTTCATGCATCCGCCCCTGCGTCCGTTCATGCGTCCATCCATGCATCTGTTTGTGTGTCCGTTCGTTCATCTATTCAACACTCCAAGTCCCACCATCTCGCATCTTTTTATTATATATTCCCCATATAGAAGCACCGCCATCCAGCGGACATTCCAAGGACTAAACGAGAGGTGGCACACGCACACTTTCTTACGGCCTGCGCTTTGGGTCCACTTCCCACCTTTAACCACCTCGAGTTCATGGTATATTCTAGTTCACTGTATTCATGGCACTGCGACCAAACGCTCGCTAAACCTTTCGAAAACCAAGGAGGTTACGCCCAGCGAGTATAACGTAGCAACCTTTCCCTGTCAGATAGGGCTCAATTTACATGCCAATGGCTGCTAATGGGGATCGCAGCGCGCGCGTTGACTAAAAGCCGAATGCTCGTCTCTCATTCCCCATTAGCAGCCATTGGCATGTACATTGAGCACTATTTTTTATTGTTAAACAACGCACAGAAGAAATCTCTCACTGGCACCACCTTGGAGGTCAAGTGTTATACCTATTTCGGGTATGTGCCACAGGTGGTTACATACGAGGGACGCCGAAGTCACGCCATAAGGAGCTTCGCCCCTAAAAAGGCTTGACTTTTTGATAGAAAACTTGCTCACCCCGTAAGCAATCCGGGTTTGATCCTCACTCGGACCCAAAATGTTTTATTATTTATTTTATTTGTATCTTCATTTTTCGTCACACACAGGATGCTGATTTTTCGGTGAAACCCGACGCCAACGCTGTAATTTCTGCGAATCAGACTTTTTAACGCTATGGCGTTAAAGAAGATACATTTTTCTGCTGCCCTGACGAGAGCATTCTTCAAAACGATTGCAAGGACGAGTGAAGCAGTGTTCATACTCATCCTGGTTTCTATTTAGAACAAGATTGCGGCCCGGGGACCTGAAACGACTTTTTAATATTTCTTTTTTATGATCGGCGTTTTTATTTGAATTCCTTTTTGTTACTTCCCGACCAGCCGTACCTCTATCAGAAGCTCGACTGCACTGTCAACACTGTTTTGCTGCATCGGTGCTCGAACCAACGTATTGTGTTCCAGCTTGTTCCTAATGTCTCATCCTCGTTCTCCACCAGGTCTACCAGTCTAAGCCGGGAGAGTGGTCTGTGCAACGCTGTACCTACAATGTGCAAGATGGCGCCCTGCTTTGTGTGCTGCCCGATATAACGACGTGCTTTGCGGACGCCTCATTCGAGCAGACGCAGGTGGCGCACCTTTCCGTCGGGGCCAACATTGTCCTGCTGGACTGGTACCTCGCTGGGCGCGTGGAAAACGGAGAACGGTGGGCGCTGGCCAGGTACGTTCGCATGCCCAAACACAGCTCACTCAATAGCGGTAATCACAAGTTTTAGTCGCTTTACGACCAATATAAAAGCCCAATTTATGGTTCATAAATGTCCTGTTCTACTGAAGCTTTATCAGACATACTGAATTTCACTGTACCATGTCCCAATAACCCCGCAGTAAGGTTTTAAAAAAAAAGTTGTGTGGCTTCACGCCGTGAAACCAAGTACATTTTCTTCTAAGTAGACTAGAGAAGCTACTCAGAACTTTTAGGGGCGAAACTCTCCTTAGTTTAACCTTGTCATGCGTCACTAGTAACGGAAAAAAGAATAGACGAGAAAGAAAAAAGGCAGTATCTCCAAAACAGTGCAATAAACTGCGCTGTCTCATAGAAGTACACGCAAACAGCAGTTGAGTGCGGATATTGTAGATGGCGCTGTACCGCTACTTTTGGATCGGCTACTGCGCGGGCTTTGCCTGGGTGCACGGAGAACGAGTGTCACTCTCTGTCTCCTGGATAGTCGCCGTACGTGGCGGATCGTTGGTGGGGCATAGACGAAGCAGAGTGACGGACGTGTTGAAGACGCTTGGGTTCGGCTTCTTTCGCTTGCGTCTCGTCAGTGTTACCCACGCGCTGTCTTCATTCTCGAACGTGATTGGACGCATGGATGCATGCATGAATGGACAGGACACGCAGACGAATGGACGGATGGACGCTTCGCCTCACTCATCATCAGTCACTCCGTAAATATGCTGTGAGTTTTTGCTTGATTGGGTTTCTTTAATTGGTCGTGATAATATTTCTTCGTGGAACAAAATTATACTTAATCAAAACCTGAATGAGGAATGCCTAGGAACGGCAACGAGCAAGGTTTACGTTGTTAAAAATAGCAATATTTTGTGCGATTATTACGTTCTGTACCGAAGCATAGTGGCACCAGCTCTGAGTCAGTGTGAAAGAAGACGTTTACGTCCGTGTGTGGCTCGTGCTTGCCGGGTTCCTGCCTGTATCAGCTTGTTGCGGCTAAGGTTTCTCGAATAATAACCTGTGTTTTTACGCAACCTTGCTCGTTGCATTTGGTGGAAACGTGCTGGGTAACGTCCTGGAGCTGCGCAGCCGTAAGCTACCATCTCAGTCCGCGATGACCGAGCGCGTCGATCCCCCACAAACCTCTTCCACGCTGCCGCCTGTCATGTGTCCTGCGTACTTTGTCTGCGTGACCCACCAGTATACAAAGGCACTGAAGATCAAGATGTCGAGGACTGGCTGGCAGAGTACGAGCGTGCCAGCGCGTTTAACAAGTGGGATGACCCTGCAAAGCTGACTCACGTCATCTTCTACTTGACGGATTCGGCCAACCTATGGTTCATCAACGACCAATCCGACATCCCCACCTGGTCGGTTTTCAAAGAGGCCGTTACCTCGTTTTTCGGTTGTCCAGCCACGCGCAAGGTTCATGCTGAACTGGGCCTGCGGGGACGATTTCAGCGAAAGGGTGAGAGATTCACGAGCTACATTGAGGATGCGATCAGCCTCTGTAGGCGAGTTGATGCGAGGATTGAAAGGCATTGATGACGACGCCTTTCATGTGCTTGTGGCCAAAGACCCACAGACCGTCACGGCCTGTGATTCAGCTATGCCAAAGTTTTGATGAACTGCGCAAGCAACGAACTTCTACACGTCGCGCTAATACGCAAACAGCTGATATTTCGGCTTTGGAGTGCAAAAGCAGTGGCCAAGACTACAGCATGTTAATGCCTCCAAGTCAACAGTACATCCGGGAGGAAGTTGCTCGACAGCTCTCTCTTGTCGCCACCATCAACGAGACCCCCACAACACTGGACCCCTCATTTCGCCGTGCTATTCAGACGCAAGTTGCCGAGGCTCTCCCTTCGCCCGCATCCCCAATATCAGTTGCTGCACCGCTGACTTATGCAGAAGCCGTCCGCCGACCTCCTGCCCAACCGCCGCTCCCTTCATACAGTCCCGCCACCAGCTACTACAGGTCACCAGTTTCGGTTTATCCGGTAAATCGGCCCTTTCCACCACCTCGAGGACCTGTAAACTCTTGGCGCACTCTGGATAACCGGCCCGTCTGCTACAACTGCGGTATTCCAGGACATGTCGCGCGCTACTGTCGTCGCCGTGGATTCTATTTTAATAATGTTCAGCATTCCGGCAACATACCTCGGTAATCAGAATTGCATGTGACACCTGATGCACATGATCCCCGCTCACGTCGACCAGACTTCAGCCGACGTCGATCTCCTTCACCCCGTCTTCGGTCTCCTTCCCCCATGCTTCGCCGTTCCAACCACGCCCAGGAGAAAAACTAACAGTCGCAGTTCCTAAGGCAAGAGCTGCGCCACCGACGAAATTTCCAAGACCTCATCTTTCGCCCCCTAACGAGATTGTCGTGTTTGTGGACGGTTTTGCCACAACTGCTCTTGTCGACACAGGTGCCGATATTTGTATAATCAGTGAAGTGTTATGCCGCAAACTGAACAAAGTGACGACTCCACTGGTAGAAATTTCTTTACGCACAGCGAGTTCTCAACACGTCCAACCTTCTGCCACATGCACTGCTCGTGTTGTGATTCAAGGAGTGCTTTACATCGTTGAATTTGTCGTCCTTCCGCATGCATCTCATGAAATAATCCTGGGATGGAACTTTTTTTCCGCTAATCATGCGGTTGTCGACTGCGCTCATGCTCAACTCGTTTTGTTTACATTCAGCACGACATTCATAGATCTCCCTCGCTCACCCAAAAAGGTGATCGTCACCGCTGACGTTGTCATTTCTGCTTTTTCGGTCACCGCGGTATCTCTTTTGTGCAACTCCGTTTCCGATTCAACTGCCCTCTTTATGCCGTCACAAGAATGCGCTCGTCGCCGGAACCTTGTCGTCCAGTTTGCCGTCATAACACTTGCCGATGGTTCCAGTGCCATGTTCGTGTGCAATCCGTTCCCTTGTCCCGCTACTCTATTGCATGACGAATGTATTGGGAGTCTTGACACTTATGATGACATCTTTCCTTTCGATGCCCGTTCTGATACGACGCTGATGTCCGTGGATGCTGTCACAGCTGCCCCCGCGCCCTCACTACCTGACGAAGACGTTCTGTTGCGCAGCGTAGACACCGGCCTTACGCAAGACCAGCGCAATCAGCTCATTCAATTACTTGACCGTTTCCGCGCCTCCTTCGACCACGGACAACCTCCCTTGGGACGCACGTCAGTTGTAGCTCACCATATCGACACCGGTCATCATACTCCACTTCGTCAGCGCCCCTACCGCGTCTCACAGGCTGAGCGTGACGTCATCACTCAACACATTGACGAGATGCTACAACGTGGTGTTATTCAGCACTAACATAGTCCTTGGGCTTCGCCAGTGGTCTTCGTGCGAAAAAAGGATGGCTTCATCAGGTTTTGCGTGGATTATCGTCGACTAAACAAGATCACAGCGCAAGGATGTTTATCCCTTTCCACGCATTGATGACGTCTTGGATTGCCTTCAAGGTGCGGAGTTTTTCTCTTCGCTGGATCTGCGCTCTGGATATTGGCAAGTGCCAATGGCTGAACCAGACCATCCAAAAATGGCGTTTGTGACCCCTGACGGCTTATATGAATTTAATGTAATGCCCTTCGGTCTTTGCAATGCGCCTGCGACTTTTGAAAGAATGATGGACAGTGTCCTCAGGGGACTTAAATGGCACATTTGTCTTTGCTATTTAGACGACATAGTTGTATTCTAGGCGAATTTCGAAACTCATCTTTCTCGTCTGGAACAAGTTCTCCAGTGCCTTACGGCAGCCCGGGTTGCAACTAAACTTGAAGAAATGTCGTTTTGGCGCCCGTAATTTCGCAATTCTCGGCCACGTCATTTCAATAGAAGGAATATCGCCCGACCCTGCCAAACTGCGTGCCGTTGCCGAGTACCCCAAGCCTACTACCTTAAGGAGCTTCGCAGTTTCATAGGCTTGTGTTCCTATTTTCGGCATTTCATTCGCAATTTTGCCTCTATAACTGTCCCCCTGACTCAGCTTCTCTCCCGTAGCGCGGACCTCTCTGGCTGGAATACCCACTGCCATGACGCATTCACGGCGCTGCGCCGGCTACTCACGTCTCCGCCAGTTCTCTGCCACTTTCGATCCCAATGCACCCACTGAAATTCCCACGGATGCAAGCGGTGTCGGCCTCGGTGCAATTCTCGCTTCAACGCAAGGATGGCTGCGACGAGTACGTTGTCGCCTATGCTAGCCGTACCCTAACGAAGGCAGGGTTCAACTATTCCGTCACGGAAAAGAAGTGCTTGGCTATCATTTGGGCTATAGGAAAATTTGGTACTTACCTTTACGGACGCCAGTTTGATGTTATCACAGATCACCATGCCTTATGCTGGTTAGCGTCCATGAAATATCCTACTGGCCGCCTTGCTCGTTGGGCTTTACGCCTTCAGGAATACGACATCCGTGTTGTTTATCGCTCAGGACGCAGACATTCAGACGCCTATGCACTATCCCGTTCTCCACTGCCTCCTGACCTTGCCTGCTTATCAACTGCCATTTGCGATTCGTCATCGTTGAGCATCACTGACATGCCATCCGAACATCGCAAGGATCCTTGGATAAATTCTTTACTCGACGTCCTCTCTCACAGTTCGTCAGAAACTGACTTCACGCTCCCTCTCTCGTCAAGCGAGACACTTTGCTGTCCGTGAAGGCTTGTTGTATCAGCCGCAATTACATGACGGACGGCCGTAGGTGGCTCCTTGTCAGCCCTCGTCATTTGCGTTCGGACATCTGCGCTGCCTTTCACGATGACCCCCAGTGTGGCCACGCTGAAGTATTTAAGACTTACTATCGCCTTCGTCTAAGATACTACTGGCGCGGCATGTATCGGCACGTTCGCCAGTACGTTCGGTCATGCACCACGTGTCAACGACGCAAGACGCCTTCTCACAGCACTGCTGGCCCTTAGCAACCCTTAACCTGCCCAGCGAGACCATT